CAAATGTGTGCGAGGGGTGCGGGCGAGGAATGTGTGCAAAACGGTGTAGGAAACTAGAGCTACTAAAAGTATGACACTAATTGACACTGACATATCGCCATCGCTCACCCCACTACACCGCATCCCGACCGCGCATAGCTAAAAAGAGTTCATAACGCTACCTCGCACATCTCTGGTGGAAAGGCAGCCTTAATGGTTTGACCTAACGCCTCTCAAGCAGATGCCGTGGGTTCGAATCTGAGCTCGCTCCTCCGAGTTTTTTGAAAACTATATGCGAAATTTAATTTGAAATTTTTTATGAGTTTTTCGGATAAAGAAAAGGCAAACATCGAAGTGAAACTTGCATATCGAAGAAGGTTCACAACCATCGGAAAACGCGTGAGAGGAGGCCCATGCCCAGCAGTGGCACGTACAAATGGGGTGATACATACATGATGTATGTATTTAATCTATGAACCTACTGTATCTCATTCCGATAAATAAATAAATTGATGCAATAAAATTAATTTACTTAATTACTTACTACAAACTAAAAACAAGACAGAAATATTTCATATTACTGCCGTCTGCTAACTAAAATGAAGTGACTATTAAAATTAAGTGATAAAATATTTTTTTGAAATATAAAAAGTCGTAACCCAGTTTTAGAATATTGAAATTGTTTGATGATATTTCAGCTATGCATCGTTGGGATAAGTTCCGATAAGTCGAACGCGTTAACTAATTTTAACTGTTTTTAAAAGAGAATTTTGTGACTATTTTGCGTCCGTCAGGATGGCTGGACCAAACGAGATATACAAATCAAATTGTGCTCATTATTTACTATCTATTTTCTACTATTTAGTACCTTTATTGACATATTTTGTACTTAGCGGTAACGGAAATATTAAAGAAATAGAGGCCAGCCATTCTGACGTCAGGTTGGCAGGACCACTTTACGTTTTTCATGGTTCTAGCAATATATAATTTACTTTTTTTGTATAACTATTTGCTACCTACTTTATACCTAAACGTACTTTTTTCACTATCTTAGGAAGGTTCTATAAAAAGTGATTTCAAAAAATAATAAAACGCCTTTGCAAAAGGTATCTTCTAAAAAGACAGTTTATTGTCTCCGTGCAATTGCTTTTTATATAACTGATTATAATCGTTCGCATTTCATAATACCTACAAATGGAATTAACATTTGTAATAGTGAAATCAACTAGTAATTAATATAATAATTGTATAAAATATTGCTTGCAAAGATAATCCAGAAACCATTGTTGGCATATTCTACGCGCCTGCAATGATATTGTTAGAGAAGATAAATTGTCTTTTTAGAAGATACGTTTTGCAAAGGCGTTTTATTATTATTTTTTAAATAACGTTAAAAATTATATCTGGCGATACCTCAAATACTTACACAACGCGCAGTAATAGTAATGTACTATATTTTGCACCATAAGTTCTATTTGTAGAACAGGTATTGATGTCGTGTCACACAGTCTATTTATTTTATGGTCTTATTATTTATCATTTTGAATCCTGTTCAAGACATAACCGTCATATTTTTACGAGAATGGGTCTTAACACAAAACTGCGATGGAACGTCGCATCGCAGAAATCTACGAGCTCGCACGACGCATCGCAAGAATTTGCTAATTGCTCCGCATCGCGCATTTCTGCGATGTTTGTCTTCTTTGTGTTTTTTTTCTATATTTGCTTATCAATAACAGCAGTGCAACACTCTTTTAAGGATCCCTGTCGCTGTCTAGTTTAAAAAATACGTTTAGTACCGTTGATGATCGTCCAAGGAATGATCACCCGAACCGTGACAGTGAGACGCTTTGCCACACGAAATCGCATCGCAGTTTTCTGCGTTGCGAAGTTGCGAATTCGCATCGCGCCGATTCGCAGTTTTGTGTTTCGACCCTTAAGATATTTTTGTCCAGTGACAATAAGTTAGTTTCTTAGAAGAGTACAAATAACGACATATATGGATACATATTACTAAAATAATAAACACATATATAGTTTCGTTTTTTATTTGTCTTTAATTGTGGGTGTTGGAACCATAGTTGAAACCGGTGCCATATGTCAAACAACATTCGTTGTGACTCATTCACTTTTTTTTTACCAACTCCTAAGGGCAGGCAGAATGAACAAACAGACTATGACTCAACGGGTTTCTGAAATAGATTCTTTTGAGGCAAATGGATTATGTATGTCGGCGCATTCCACACCGAATACACAATAAAATCTCATTTATAATAATTTATTTCTCTAATTTGCGTGTCTGACTCGATAATTAAATTCTAATTATTATAAATAACGAAGTAGCTAATCGAATTCTGTTATATAAAAACCACGAGTTAATCGTCAATCTTAATTCCACAGTAACAAGAAAATCATGTAATTCCCGCCTGGTCAACGCATCAATGCCTACACATCGCTCGCGTAGGGTTGTCGGATTATTATTAAAAATAACGAACGAACGAACGCTTAAATTCTATAATGAATGGCGCGTGCAGCCTTTGTGCGTAGCACATTGTGCGATTCATGCTGTGCAACTTGAGTGCACTGCGAGATTATACAAATGTGTCAGCGTGCACACATACAAACCGCGCTGCTCTAGTCTTATTATACCACGGTAATCGATCAATATCAATAATCACGATCCCTATTTATTATTATTCTCATCAATATATAAAAACACGTTTATAGATTTAAACCTAACAGGGGGCTAAACGGTGAATCTGTTAAGTAATAATGTGGCGGTGTTCTTAAAGTAATTTTATCGTGAAGTTCACGATAAATTTATAGTCACGACGCGCGACGGGTACTGTTTGTCATCGCAAATAACAATCCTGCTGCGCTGATGTCCTATTGTTATGGTAATTCATAAGTTTGTCAGTGAGGTGGTCAAAACTGACACATCTAAGGTTTCTGAAAATTGGTCACACTTTTTAAAATAACACAACTGTTTCAGGCGAGATAGCACAGTGTAACTTTAACTTTAATTCCTGTGCTTAAGAGTCGACACAACCTCAAATGGCTTTGGTCGAATCCGCACAACAGTGTAAGTGTTGAATCAATCATTTTGGAAAAATTATATAGTAAAATTGAGGATAGCATACGGTGCGAAAACACGATTCCTAAAAAATTTCACGTTAGAAAAAAACACAAACTAATCTCGAAATTTTACAAGACAGCCGCTGGATTCAATAGGTACTTTACATAGTACCAATGATTTTTTTTTTGTGTCAACTGAACTAAATAGAACACGTACAGTATACGATATACATTTTTGAAATGGTTTTAATTTCGTTTGTAAAAAAATAAATTCTGAAATGAAGGCAGTGTCCATGCCGCTCGACCCAAGCAAAATGAACCGTATTAGTATAGAAAAAAAATTGAATTCGAGCTGAGGTAGTATCGACCCTTAAGTAGAATTAATACGTTGTCATCATTCATCATCGGTATACGGGTCGAAACGCGAAACTGCGAATCGGCGCGATGCGAATTCGCAACCTACGAAACTGCGATTTCGTGCGACAAGGCATCTCACTGTCACGGTTCGGGTAACCATTCCTTCGACGATCATCAACCGCACTGTATTTTTTAAACTAGGTAGCGACAGCTTTTAGTAGCCAGTTTAGTAACAGGAGAGCTCCATGTGATATAGTTCGTCCAGGGTAGTACTGCCACCTTACCTATTTCTGTCGCCAAGCAGTAATGTCAGCATAACTGTGTTCCAGTTTTGAAGGGTAAGGGTGTTGATGAAATTACAGGCACTTGTCAACTTATGTCTCAGGGTGACGGCCACAGTGGTAGTGCCCCTCAGATCTTTGCTTTTTATAGCTCTGAGTGGCACTGTAACTGTTGTGGACAGGCGTGTAGCTTACCATCAGGCGCATGACTTGTTCGTGCCGTTACTTAATGTTATAAAAAAAATATGGATCCTAAAACGAGTGCTCTGCACTGCTGTTATTGATAAGAAAGTAAACGAAAAAAACACAAAGAAGATTAACATCGCAGGAATGCGCGATGCGGAGCAATTCGCAAATTCTTGCGATGCGTCATGCGAGGTTGAGATTTCTGCGATGCGACGTCGCATCATGGTCGCATCGCAGTTTTGTGTTTCGGCCCTACGTTCGTCAGAGTTTATGATAACCCGGTCAAACCCGGAAATTGATCGGTCAATCATAACATAATTAATCAAACAAACCTTGCGCCGGCGCAGTACTTAATTTGCCATTGAATTTACGTCTATGACTTTGTCCATGAAATCATAATTCTGTTAGACATTCGCAATCTGGACTTGATATACTATATTTAAGTAGCAGCATTGTACCTATTGATTTTAAACTGCTTATCAAGATGAAACTTAAGCGCGTTTGCGCACAATGTCACATCCGATTCGTGTTCGTTCTAGAAAACTATCTAGGAAACTCGGACTCACTTCGGACAGCTGTGATATTTCGAATCGTCATTTCTCGGATTCGCAACTGGGGTCTACTCTCGATCTCCGTCCGACATGCGTCCGAAACAATTACTGTCAAATAAATAATATTCGACAAAATTAAAAGACAAGTATCAAGTATGAAGCTTCATTCGCATCACGCGTCTTTTCATTTGATCAAGTATTGCTTATTTGGCAGTAATTGTTTCGGACGGAGACGTAGCGCGCAAAAGTTCTAATTCAAATAAAATTTTTGTCAATTCGACAGATTTATCTCGTTGTTATGAATTGTTCGCATATCCTTATACATTTTGACGATCTCGGTCCAACAGTTTGTACTGTGGGCACTGGATGAGGAGGTCCTGGGTACAGGATAGGGTAAGGTTTCTTTAGTACAGGTAATTCCCTAGTTTGAGACCAGGTCATTACTATTATTATTGTTGTTATTATTATATCTATTGTACTCTCGCCTCTCTTAAGGTCTAAAAGATTAATTTATATTATTATTATCATTATAAGCGTGTTGTGAATTCAGCTTTAAAATATTTCTTTACAGATGGAGTTTCAGTTTATTCAAAAGAGGATATAAAAATGGTCTCACGGTGCAGGACTTATGGGCGGCTAGAGGAGGAGATAGATCAGGTCGACTTGGTGACAGATTAGAAGAAGCATGGGAGCAGGAGTTACAGACTGCGCAACACAAGGGCGGAAAGCCATCGCTGTCCAAAGCCATAATCCGGTCTTTTTGGTTCGAATACATGTTATGTGGACTTGTAGCAGGTCTTCTTTTTGTTATTGTATGGTAAGAATACATTTATATGGTAATCAACTGTATTTCAATATTCCTACTAATAACATGCATTTGAAAAGCGGCCAAGTTCGGAGTAACCAATTAGTAGGTCAGCCGGCTTCACCTGTAGTCCATTGTATCCAAGTGAATGCCAACTTCAATAAATAATCTTGTAGTAATTCGTGAGAATCTATTAATAACTTAAATTAGCGAGAAAACGTCTCGAGAACATTACAGAAATGTGACTATATACACAGGCAAATTGATGCGGCCGAAAATCAATTGACGATGATGGTACTGATGCCAACAAACAACATTGCTGTAAAATTATTTTGTAGTTGGCAAACATAATTTTTGCTTCCTTGGAACCTAAGCACACAGAGTATTTTTTGCGCAGACGTCGATGCGTAGATTACGTTCGTTAATCAGTCGCAGCTAGTAAACGTTCAGTGGTGCCATAAACGCGCGTCGACGACTGCGGGCGGCGGAGAGGCGCAGTGGCGATATCACACGTTCCTCATTTGCTCCTTGCCCCAGCCTTGCAATGTAATGTTGTTGGTGTTGAAAAGATTCAATCGCGCGTAAATCGTAATTCAAACACGCGTTAAACTTTAAACAAACGAGTTCGAACGCGCGTTTGAATCACTACAAACGCAACAATCTGCTTTTTGAGTCTACGCGTAAAAAATACGCCATGTGCATACGTTCTCAGACATTTTTTTGATATTGGTTTTTCATGAATCGAAAAGGTATTGTTTTGTAAAGTTGATAAGTAACAACTAAAAATATTCATAATTTGCTCCTCTAAAACAAAATTTTATTAATTCATCTTTCGAAAAACTCTTTCGAAAGATAAAACTCTTCTAGCACATTATTTTCTCTTTCAGGCCACTTATTCCATATACACTAGGGTTATTTATAGACTACTTTGCGGGAAATAAAACTCCAGAGACTTACAGGAACGCGCATATTTACAACTTCTGCTTGAACTTCTTGAGTATAGCGACGGCTTTGGCAATGAACCATTTGTTTCTGGCTCAGGGTTCCGTGGGAATGAGGATAAGGATTGCTTGCTGTTCATTACTTTATAGAAAGGTAAGCTACTAGGCGTAATTATATTTTTTATTTAAAAAAATTGATTCAATTTGATATCATCATCATCAACCCATCTATATGTCGCACTGCTGGGCATGGATCTTCTTTCAAGCGAGGGTTCAGGCTATAGTTCGCCATGCTAGCCCAATGCGGGTTGGGGACTCCACAAGTTTTCCTCACGTTTTCCTCCGCGGAAAAGATCATGGTAAATTTCAAATTAAATTTCGCGCATCAATTCCGAAAAACTCAGATTTGCGAGCCCGAATTCGAACCCATACCCACGAAGGCCTCTGCTTGAGAGACGGTAGGTCAGATCATTAGGTTACCACGGCTTTTCATATTGATTCATCAAATTACAGAAAATCCTAAAAGTGCTAGCCAAGATTGGTAGACTTCGTAAAAAGTCAGCAATAGGACTAAGAAAATTATCAACAATGAAAATTACGTATGGGGAAGGTCGGGCAGGAAGGGCCCGTTAAGGTTAATCAATTAAAATCCACGTAATGATGACAAATTTAAGAACGAATTAAATATAATCGAATACAACGTCTTTAGCTTTACCAATTATTATAAATTTCAAACTAAATAATCAACATCACTTTTTAACCCGTTTTGCCCGTAGGGGGTCGATAAAATGTGTATACTAAGCGGACAAAAAGAGTACTACATAAGTAATATGAATTATCCTAATTGGGGTTTCTGATTTCTCGACACATTTTTTCTCGTGTTTCGAGAATTCTCGTACCCGATTTGTAGAGGTTTTCGATTTGTTTGAGAAATTTAATAAAAACCAAAAAGATCAGTTTAATCAACTGTAAAATATATCAGAATAAAAACTCAATTTACGTGAATTTTGTAAATAGTTTTGGTAAATTGGTACCTCGGAGTGAATTCTGTGGCTATTGGTCTTGGGTTCGATTTCCGTTAGGATCAATTTGAAAAATGAACCTCTGTTATTATACAACAACCAATGTTCGCGTTACGCAGCCCAACGTCGCTCAGCTGCTATCTGTCTTTCAAACAAATAAACCTTATGATTGAGAACCTAAGTAACGTTTTTTATTGTCCGTGGCGTCACAAGCTGGCGACGACAGGATGCATCGAGCGTCGCTGCGTAGCGCGGTTTTACTCTTTTGGTAGAAGAAATGTCTACTTTATTTAGTAGAGAATATATATACCAAGACATTCTCTGAGTTTTTCTTTTGTAATTAAATACTATTTGAAATACAGCCATGCATTCATACAAAACAACAACTGGGTGAAAAGGGTGCTACCCGTTTTGCCCGTACCCGTTTTGCCCTCCTCCCAATTCAACTCACGCCGAGAAACCTTAACAAAATACAATGTTTTGTTACTTAATGCACTCTTATCAGACAGCATACAGACCAAACGTTATATGGTATGCATTAATATATAGTACACTTTATATGAATCATAAAAACACAGCGCCCTCACTGTTATTTTATTTTTTTAGCGCTGAAACGTCATCATCATGTCTTACTTTTGCTTAAGTACATTGTATTGAAAAACCCTTTTTGCCTACCATGACTTTTATGCCCGATCTTCCCCTAGAGTTCCTAGGTTTTCGCAATTGCCACACATTGGAAATGTAACTATATTTTCGGTTCCTAATCTGAGTCACGGCTAAAACCATGGGATCTGTAAAGTACCCAAAACAAATACAAAACGTCGATTTGTTAAAAAAAATACACGTATCAGATCCAAAAAATAGTTTCATTCCCAACTAAAAATTTGTTGTATCTATTTCTAAAATTTATGTAAAGAAAAGTTATTGAATTACTCAGCTCGACGTATTGTTCGTATGTATTGTGGCGCGGACATTGTCTTCTACACAATACGTTGAAAGTTCTTTTTTATGTTCGTGGCTTTTCTCAAACCGTGCATGTTATATTATATACTTAGTATTGGAGCAACATGTTAACAAGATTCATTTGAATGGATTGTTCGTCTAAAGAAACAAAGCCGGGAAATAACAAGGTACAATGATCTGTACCTACTTCCAGTGGAGCTTCTTTCCGTACCTTTTTAACGTAAATACAGAAGTCGCTGATGAGGACACCTGATTTTTAGATATAAATTAAAAAAACTATGTCATCGATATTGTATTTTTTTATTCTGGAGATGAATTTTTCTTGACTCCGCCACACAAATCGGATTCGATTTCATGAATGAGTCCCGCCCTTTTCTACGTACGTTTTGATTATAGTGACCCTCCCTACCGACCATTAGGAATATAGCTCAGGGACCTTCTCAGTCACGTCTTGACCCCAGATCAGCCCGTTTGCACAGACTTCATTCGGTTCTCAAAAGACTAGTTAGTGCCTTGGGTGAGCTGCCCCGGGTACACGCACAGTTCATGAATGAACCGAATGATGTCGCCTTTGACCATCGCGATGCCTTTGGTATTGTCTGTACTTGTTCTTCGCATACTTGTGATATAAAGCACTTGATAAAGTCTAAATTCACGCCGCCGCCGTCCATAAATTCAATACCGTTACGTAACGTTGTTCCCGAACTGAACGATAATTTTGAAAGTTTAACGACTTCCACTTGAATTGTTTAATTTACTTAATAATCATGTAATTGAGACATTTTTTTATACATGGCCGTCAAATAAAAAAGAAATTAAAAATAGATCGGCTCCATTTAAATATCCCTTACTTACTCTATAGTGTAGTTCCAAGTTTAAATTCGACAATGGTTCAACGTTTTGTATGCCTTACGAAGTGTATGTAAATTATGCATGTAGAGCATATGTAGAGAATCGCTTTTAGTTAAAGAATTCGACTTGTCTGTGTCGTCGTAGATTTCTTAAGTACAGGTCAAGTACTAAACAACACATAACAAGGTACTACGTTGTAATAGTTAGTAGAAATATAGGTATAATATTTTATAGCGTTTATCTTTTTCGCCATTTACAATTTCGTTTTTTTTTCCAGATTTTGAGACTGAACCGAAAGGGTTCAAACAAGACAGCACCAGGCCAAGTGATAAACTTGATGTCTAATGACGTAAACAGATTCGATATGGTAACTCTCTTCCTGAACTACATCTGGGTGATGCCGATTGTGGTACCAGTCGTTTCATACTTGGTTTGGCAGCAAATAGCGTGGGCCACTGTCGCCGCTTTGTTGGTGATCATAATTCAGACTGTGTTAGTCCAATGTACGTTGAGTATGGTATCTTCTTTCTACTTCAGGTGCTTAGAGATGATGCTGGTATCAAGGCAAGGATCGAAGTGATAATTATCATCTTGTTATTTATAAAATTCATTTGAACAAACCAAATCGTTCTGGTTTTCCCAAATACATTTTTTTGCTTTGTTATTTTGGAATCTCACTGTTTGTCTTTTTTAGTTAACAATTAAAGAGACAAAACTATGAATCAGCATGGATATCTCCCTCCAAAACACTACATCAACTTTATTTTTTGGTCAGTTTCTGTTATTTAAACAGACATATTTATATACTAATATTCTCTTTAATCCGAATTTTGTGAAAAAAAATAAAGAAACAAAAAACAAAACTTGAGAAAAAACAAGGAAGAACTCGATAAAAGAAACAAATTTTGTGGAAAAAAATAGAACAAAAAAACAGAACAGGTACAAAAATTAAGTTGGTTGTGGTAATTAAGATATTTATTATGATAATCATTATCAAAGAAAATCTTGATAATTTCGAACCCTGCGTCCATCTGGGCAGTCTTGACTTCCTTAAATAATTGTTTAGCAATGTTTTGTTTTGACGTAGTTTTAGCTTATAATTTAACAAAGTGTTACAAAGACGTTGAGCAAAGAAACTACTTTACTCAAGACGTATGTATGTTGTATGTAAAGTGATGAATGAGAAAAACTGGGTCAGAAAAAAGATTGCTTGAGGAATTGAGATATTGCATAATATTCAATACATTTAATTAAATGACGCGCCAATTTGTTTTTATTACAATCGTGTATAGAACATTGACGGATGAATGTTTTTTTCTATAAAAATACAAAGGTAATTAAATTAAATAAATAACAGCTTTATCTTTTACGAAAATGCTCATATACTTAATAATTTTGCTAGTGTAAAAGAAGTACTTACACAAAAAGCAATGTCTGTACATTGCAGCACATCAAACTACACATTGACGAATCTTGTTCCGTAGTCGAATAAAAGCTTGAGGTGCTGTTGACTATAGTTACACCTAAAGTAAATGTCAAACTTTAGCGATGTAAACGAGATTTTATTTCCAAAAATGGTGCTAAAAAAAGTTGTTGCCCTGAGCCAAAGTGCTCTTTAATACGATTCTTAGTCTGTTATACGACCTAAATACAAAGTACTTGCTGTGCTTTTTTAAACAATTAATACATAACTGTGATTCAACACCGGATTACTTATTTCCAGCGTATTTGAGTAAACGACAAGGTGTCTTACGAGGCAAGATCGCCAAGCGAACAGACGAGAGAGTGAAAGTCATGAGCGAGCTCGTCAACGGCGTTCAGGTCATCAAGATGTATGCTTGGGAGAAGCCTTTCGAAAAACTTGTAGATAAATTGAGAAAGTAAGACATTTTTTTATACTGTCTGTCAATGTCCGCCCTAATTTACTTCAATACCCGTCTTGTGACCACGCCCATACTAAATCATTATTTCAAATGACCTCCATCGTGAGCTGGATAGCGTATGTAATGACCATAGGTCGGAAAGAGGTGTTCCAAATACATAAATAAATATATGTAGTTTTGTCCTACGATGCAGAAAAACCTTTTTTCCGAAATCGAAATAGTAATGAATTAAAATTTGGTGTTTTTAACAACTCTATATCACTCCTTGTGTCCATATTTGTACACGCATTTATGTATGTGGAACACCTTTTTCCGACCATTGGTAATGGACATACGAATGTACAATCTGATAAAAGGACGCTTTTAGTAAGGGCATGATCGCAGTACACTCTACTATGTCATTACATATGTACCTACGTTCCATGAGCATCGTTATACCAATTTACCACAGAAATACCTACTTTGAATGTGTGACATAATAATATGACTCCCTCTTCCGTGCCAAAAACCGATAAGCCCAAACATTACGCTATACAACAAAATTTCAAGTTTTTCGAGTAAACTGGTATCTCATTACGCATACGTAAAACAAATTGGTAATAACGCTATTTTTAAAACTGGATGATCATAAAAAATTCTATCCACTTTTTACGATGTTTACAAATCATACGATTCATATAGGTAGGTAGGCCGTAGATATTTTTCATATATCTATACCTGCTATAGATATTACATTACTTACAATTGATTACACTACTCTTTATTTCATAGCCACAGTTTAGTTCACGCACGGGCTCTGTAGTTAACACTATGGGACCAATTTGAGTAACGAACTTTTCGTTATTTAATCCTGGTGTGGGTATTCTGGGTAGTGTCTGACAGAGAATTTCGTTGCTCTGGTATATAGTATAGATTATCCTAGTTTGACACCAGGGACTTGGTGTGGTTGCCTGCCTTTGTAATAATAAATAGTTAAATTTGGTATTAACAGGGAGTAAATTCTCGTAAATAGCACTTTGACACTATGAAATAATATTGTTTAGGTACCTAAGATATCTTCTTTCATAATATTGATTCGTTGAACGAGAGAGCTTCTGTCCGGGTCGTATGACGTTGAATGACAGTACAGTTTTATCACTAAGATAAATCCACTCGAAACCCACATACTCAAGTGCTTATTGATTATTGAGTCACCAGACTCATGTTATACATATGTTGCAAAACATGGTGTAATGTATAATATTTCAACGGTGGTATTCTAACCTAACCAAAATGCATATTTTAGATCTAGTACAGATGATTCCACCTATTAATACTAAATGAACTTATTTTTCTTGTCCTGTCATATATTTTGGTCAAGTGGATATGAACATTTTCGTACGGAACAGGTGGTTAACAGGTAGAGTTACCATCCGTCCGGATTTGTTAGGACATGACCGATGATTGATGATTTTTAGTACTTCTATCTGGATTTTGGCTTAGGGTAACAATTTTCAGAGTAGAACGGAAATATCCACTTCGAAATTTAGTAGCAGTAGAGCTCCTTGTGAATGAGTTCGCCCAGGGTAGTACTGCTACCTGACCTATTTCTGCCGTCAAGCAGTATGTCAGCATTACTGTGTTCCCGTTTTGAAGGGTAAGTGTGCTGGTGAAATTACAGGCACATGGGACTTGTCAACTTATGTCTCAGGGTGACGGAGTCTCAGATATTCGCGATTTAAAGTTCTGAGTGACACTGCAACTGTTATGGATCATCAGGCGCACGACTTGTTCGCACCATCAGTTGATATTGTAAAAATAAATCAATCGAGTCTCACTTATTATTCTGAATAATAACAGGATTAATTTTATTATTAGCAAATACCACAAAAATAATAGGTCATTGTCTCGCCGCGTAGCTACACCCTTTCCGACACACGACGGTTTCGTGGTCTTTTTTTAGATGAGTTGAATGAGGAATAGTAATAGTCATAGAAATATTTTACATTTTACCAATAAATTTGAATGAAATTCGATTAACAACAAAAATGTTGTTGCCAGGGCGCTTGCCCATCTCTTTTGCCGTGTGAGAGAGAGATTTTCAATGTTATTTTGCATCTAAAAAGTCGGGACTTTCTTCCAAATGTCAGGGATATTCAAATTTCGGAATGGTAACCCTATTAGTAGCTCGCGTTAGTGTTCACTACCTAATTTCGGTAGCAATTTTTATTATTAAATATTCGAGTACAGTATCAAGTATATTATAGTATAGTATTATTAAGCATAGTGTAGTTGTTTTTACTGTGTAATAAAAATGTAATAGCGAAAATAAACCCGATAATGACTCTCGTCTATTTTAAAGGAGCCGTCGTCCTTAAAAGTATTAGTGTTAATGTAAAAATCATCCATTACTGAATCAAGAATACAGAAAATCAAGATATACTTAGACAAAAATCAAGGTGTGACCCCATTTTCTTACACCTTACAAGTGTCACACACGCCTGTATTATAAGCTAAACTAGTATGACTATGTCCACAATATCATTAGGAATCCAATATCACTGTGTGTACAACATGGCTTTATAAGATTAGGTATGACTTTATCTACATATTGTACACCACATCTACACGCAAGCCCAGTAACTGTTTCATGGGTAACAGAAAATATTGATTACAGGTTGGAGGTCAAATTCATAATGCGCACGTCAATGATAAAAGGATTTTCTACCGCCCTTATGGTTTTCACCGAAAGGTTCATATTATTCTGCGCTGTTATCACTTTCGTGGTGTTGGGAGGACACATCCGAGCCAGTATTACATTCTCCTTGGTGCAATACTTCAACCTACTTCAGTTGGCTTGTAATATTTTCTTTCCATTGGCTCTGGCCATGCTGGCTGAATCGAGAGTGTCTATTAAGAGAATTGAGGTAAGAATACACTGATATGGATACATAGATTTATAGTATAGGAGAAAATGAAACACAGACAGAGATGGGCCGTAGCGGGTTTAAACCCAACCAACCGGCTCGAGTGTTTACCGGGTCTTTGCCCAAAGGGTCGGGTGTTAACCCATTTCTGTGAATAACCGTGACCAAAACGGCGGATACGGAATTTGGTATAATTCCATAGTGCAATTACGCGTAACTAGCATTGGAATAGGAGTTTTCCATTTCGGTAATTTAGTGGCCAAATCAAATTAGTGTGATTTACGGGGTTTTATTGTTATCAGTCCGTAGACAACATAGATTAATGCTTACTATGCGAAAATGAAAGTCGTAGTTATTGAAATAACAAAGTATTAATAACGTTAAATCCCTCTCCTGTAAAATTTGCTTAGTGCAGACTTGCACTATCCCCGATGTAGAAGTACCTACACATTACAAATTTCGATGTAAAAAGTACTTTATGGACGAAAACGAGACAAATCCACACAGTACCCATTTGCCATACTGTGGATTCTCACTAATAAGGATGCACATTACGTTTCGATATTTATAAAGATTGATTGATGTGCATACGATCTAACGATTTTTTGTATAGATTTATTTCAAAGCGATTTTGAAGCGAATCGATTCAATAGAAAAGCAAATCAAATATTTAGTTGTAATAAGATTTTGCCCTCGATATCGGACGTTTAACCGATTTAAACCAGGCGTTATTAATGCGTCGGGTTAAAACCCGGGCACTTACGCATCTCTGGATACAGGTGAGTTCATCTGATGTACTTACTATGCGCGGCTCCCGGGGCAACCTAACTACGTGAAACTTAGTTTCCCAATCTTGTACTGTAGTAGATTTATGTGTTTGCTATACGATGGGTGAGACTAGATTCTAGTCACTTGAAGATTGATGAGAATGTCGCCAAAAAACTACAGGAGACCCAGTATTTGGGCGATATCGGGATCTAGATGATGATGTTGCTGTTCGAAATAAATAAAAACAAGAACCAGCGCAAACCAGCGAACGTAAGACAAAGGATATTAAATTTATCCAAGTATATTTTATGCTATTCCAACTTAAAGAAGATATAAATTTCAGTGCTCAGAGACTGACCCCGGAGTTTCGAGGTATTTAAGAGAACGCTAGAGGATACGGCGGCTCTGGTATGCGACGGAATCCAGCCGTCCGAGGGTTTGCGCTGGTTCTTAGTTTATTCGCAAAAGCGTGTTAATGACTAGGAGCCTCCGCAAAAAATCGAAGCGGATGATCAATTCTTTTGATGAACCATATCTGAATGAAGAAAGGCTTTCATGGATTTCTCACGGGTAGCGTTACGGCAAAAAAAGTCGTTAAAAACCAAAAACAACAAAAACAAAGATCTGCAACAAACACATAGAAAAATTCGTAACGTCTGCTAGTTCGTTCCGTAGCTTACTTGGGAGAGCATCAGCCACCGTATGGCGAGGTCGCTAGTTCGAGTCCAGCCGGATCGAATGATTTTTTCTTGTGTTCGACCTTTGTATTAATAATTTTCAAAGTGAAATAATCTTTATTTCATAGGTAAGCAAATTACTCTAAATCGTCATACTGATTTAACTCTACTGCTCATTCGTAAGGCAGAGTCCCCTGAGAAGAATGAGTAAGAAACTCTAGGGGTTGCTCTTTTAAATATACATTTACAATATGTATTTCAAACATCTTAGACAGAGACTACATCAAGAGCCAAACGGGCTACTACCACTGATTCTTGTCATCCAAGTACACAGTACACAGAAGCTGTATAATAAATAACCTTTAGTATAAAGTTTTTGCTTCACTAATTTTTTATTTCAACCGGAATCTTATTACAGAAGCTTATACATTGCCCCTTAAATGAATATGTGACTTTGTAAAGACGACTGTCAAGAACAGCTACTTTATTTTTATTCCTTGTGTTAATGTTATGTCTGTCACTTATGTTTATATAAAAATTTAATCATATCTACTTCTCTTGGTCTTAAACAATTTGTTAATTGTATGTTCCGTTTGTAGGAATTCTTAAAACTAGAAGAACTAGAATCCCCAAAAGCAATAGAAGCAAAATCAATGAACATGAAATCATTAACGAATGGGATTGAGAAAGAAGAAAAAGAGAGGTCAAAGTACAGCGGACTAGTTTTAACAGGAGTTAGCGCCAGTTGGCAACCGGATCCTATTGTTCACACTTTAAGGAATATAACATTAAATGTGCAGCCTGGAGAATACGTCGGTATCGTTGGCACTGTGGGATCTGGGAAGGTAAGTGGCAGTGAGGTACTTTGAAGGTTTCAATAACAATAGTGTCTCTAATGTTAGGATAAGTTTAACCTCTATCTAGCAATTCACATTGAAATGTTCAATATACTATTAAGTATAACTTCATGCTTCAGGTCTATGCTAGTATGAAAAGCTTTGTATAAAAACTCGTCTTTTACTAAATACTCTATGGTCTCAAAGAATATATAGATCTATCCTAAAAGTATCCGATTTTTGTCCGTTACCGCGCTGGGTCTATTAATCCGACATATGTATATCCTTCACAGTAATCTCCATTCGACTAAACCACATCTCGCACCGATACTTCCACACTCCGAAGTAGATAGGGAAGTCACTATATTCCGAAGTAGATAGGGAAGTCAGTTTTCGGTATTCCGAATGCATATACGCCAAGCAGAAAAGTAATTAAAGTTCTTTTCTGCTTGGCGGCAGAAGTAGGTAAGTTGAATAACATAAAATTATTTAACTTTACCAACATCCTTATAGTCCCGATCATCGAGACCTGACGTAGCCCTCTGTATTTTTGGCAGTTGCCAAAATTGAAACTGAAGGCTATTCCGAAAACTGACTGCCATAACTGCTTCGGGATGTGGAATATGATTAATAGACCCAGAGAGGAATAATGGACGAACGTCGGATACTTTTGGATAGACCTCGTATGGCGATAAATTTGAATGTGATATTTTCATTATAATGTACAATGGGCGTTTACATGATGCACTAATGAAGTATGCTAGCTTGTATCGTGTACTGAATAGAATATAATATAATAGAATCTTTTTTTGCATATCATTATTCTAACAATGTTAGAAAAAATTTGCAAAGGATAATTTGATTGTCAATAAATAATAATATGTACCTAATTATATAAATCATTGAGAATATAAAACATAATAGAATAACTAAAAAAAACTTAAATTTAACACAAAATATTGTCGAAATACAACGACATCAAATGAAACTAAAATTACAATTTCTTCGAAAGAAATGCCCCTGCACTGTGAAATTAATAATCCAATATCAACGATCAATGCGGAGGCTGATACGGATGCGGATATTTTATATTATAGAGACTATTCGCAGATGCAGATGCTGATATTCGCAACAACCCTGTTACAAACCAAATCTATATATATGTATGTGTATATGTACATACTTTATCGGATAATGCAGGAAATTAAACAGTACTTGAAAATACACACTGCAAAAAAGTGATTGAAAAAAACATCTCAATGTAAGGTAGAACGACATTGTTTTAAGAGGTTGTGCTAACCCCCTGATTCTATCAAGCAGTGTGTCAGCAACAACAATTTTGAGTAATAAATTTAATCATGCTGTGATTCATTTCACTAAGTATTCGCCATTTTTGCGAAAAAAATATAAGTATGTTGAGTCTTTGGTTCGATTAAAACACTAATTAATATTGTTATACATTATAATCTGTATCAATATTAAGTGTTTTATTAAGTGAAGATAGGATCTTCCACGTGTCACCACTTATGTGTATAATAAATATAATAATATCAGTAAAACGCAAGATAGAATGCGCTAATTGCGTAAAGTATGTGTTTTATATATTTACAATATCTGTATAACGTTATGGCTTGTTAATATTTGATC